AGAAACATATTGACAACATTTTTTCCACAGAATGAGAACAAACTAAGTTTTGGAAACTTTTTGCTCAAAAACTTTCCTCCAGGGCAAGGTTCTAAACAATCAACTAGTCCAATTTGATTCCACGATCTCACTTTGCAATCCCTGTTTGGCTCAGGAAATCCAGGGTTCAAATTTGTCAATTCTTCTCCAGGGCAACAAACAGGAATGAAATCAGACCATATGTGTCTTCACAGTGCACAGTACCATGTTTCTCCAAAACACTTCTATTTCTAACTTAGTAACTACATAAACTGTAGATATACATAACTTAGTTTTAGACTTATTACCCCTTACTTCTGGAAAAGCCTGTGTGTAGACATACACACATGCATACGTGGTATACACACACACACACACACACACACACACACTTGCTCACACTGTGATAAATAGCATTCCTAAAAAAACTTTTGACATTCCTTTTTAACTCTTCAATGTGTTTTGGATTTTCAGGTGAGCACCTTACTCAGAGAAACTTCATCAAACACAAAAACATTTGTTTAAGGCAATTCCTTAGCTACTGCCTTTCAGGTTTTGGTTTTCACCATGGTTGTTTTTTGTTTGCTCACCTTTCCATACCATTATAAAAATGGCATTCCAGATGCTCCCAACCAGCCAAGCTACTTTAATTTTCCCTTCTCATTCAGGTAACACAAAGTGCTCATAAAATACTCATCGCTGCCATGATTGAAACCCAGATTCCTACTTTATGAAAAGTTTGATTTTCTAGTCGAAGTCCTTAATGTTTCAGGGCATCAGGATCAGGAGATCATGATTCATGGGATCAGGAAAGCCAAGGTGCAGGCAGAACTGAACTTGGCGAGGGATGTGAAAAACAGCCGGAAAACTTTCTACAGGTACATTGGCCAGAAGAGACAGGCCAAAGCGAGTGTACCTCCTTTGGTAAATGTGAAAGGAGAACTTGCTTCAACGGATGAATAGAAGGCTGAGGTACTGAATAAGTTCTTTTCCTCGGTCTTCACTGGCAGCCAGGATTCCAGTACTTCTCACGTCCCTGAGCCCTGCATCCCTAAACCTCTAGGTGGACACCAGGGTGGTAAATCCCTCCCTGCTGTGAAGACAGAGCAGGTCTGAGACCGTCTCGTGAGACTGAATGTGTACAAGTCTATGAGCTTGGGTGGCCTGCATCCCAGGGTTCTGAAGGAGCTGGCTGAGGTGGTTGCCGAGCCACTCTCCATCATTTTTGAAAAGTCGTGGCTGTCAGGTGAGGTCCTGGCTGACTGGAGGAAGGGTCACATCACTCCCATTTACAAGAAAGGGAGCAAGGAGGACCCTGGGTACTACAGGCTGGTGAGTCTCACCTCTGTGCCTGGGAAGATCATGGAACAGATCCTCCTGGATAACATACTTGATCACATGAGGAATGGGTGTGTGATCTGTGACAGCCAGCACAGCTACACCAAAGGAAGGTCATGCTTGACCAATCTGGTGGCCTTCTATAATGGGGTGACAGCATCGGTGGACAAGGGAAAGGCGACCAATGTCATTTACCTGAACTTGATCAAGGCCTTTGACAAGGTCCCTCACCACATCCTTATCTCCAAATTGGAGGGAAGTGGATTTGATGGATGGACAACTCGATGGATAAGAAACTGGTTGAAAGGCTGCAGACAGCGGGTGGTGATCAATGGCTCTATGTCCAGGTGGAGGCCGGTAACGAATGGCATCCCCAGGGGTCTGTCTTGGGACCAGTGCTCTTTAACATCTTTATTAATGACATCGATGATGGAATCGATGTTTGCTGACGACATCAAGGCTGAGTGGTGTGGTCAACACGGTTGAAAAAAAGGATGCCACTGAGAGGGACCTCGACAGGCTTGAAAGGTGGGCCTGGGTGAACCTGATGAGGTTCAACACAGCAAAGTGCAGAGTTTTGCACGTGGGTCGGAGGAATCCCAGGCATCCACACAGACTGGAAGGAGCGGTCCTTGAGAGCAGCCCTGTGGAGAAGGACCTGGGGGTCTTGATAGATGAAAAACTTCACATGAGCCAGCAGTGTGCTCTTGCAGCTCGGAAGGCAAATGGCATCTTGGGCTCCATCAGAAGAGGGGTGGCCAGCAGGGACAGGGAGGTGATTGTCCCCATCTGCTCTGCTCTTGTGAGGCCCCATCTGGAGTACTGTGTTCAGGTCTGGAGCCCCCAGTACAAGAAAGACAGGGAGCTGTTGGAGAGGGTCCAGAAGAGGGCCACGAGGATGATCAGGGGACTGGAGCACCTCCCCTGTGAAGACAGGCTGAGGGGACTGGGCTTGTTCAGCCTGGAGAAAAGAAGGTTGTGAGGTGACCTCATTGCAGCCTTCCAATACCTAAAGGGAGCCTACAAACAGGAGGGGAGTCAACTCTTTGAAAGGGTTGATAACTGCAGGACGAGGGGAACTGGTTTGAAGTTGAGGGAGGGGAGATTTAGGTTGGATGTCACGGGGAAGTTCTTTACTATGAGAGTGGTGAGGTGCTGGAACAGGCTGCCCAGAGAGGTTGTGGATGCCCCATCCCTGGAGATGTTCAAGGCCTGATTGGATGGGGCCCTGGGCAGCCTGGTCTAGTATTAAATGGGGAGGCTGGTGACCCTGCCTGTGGCAAAGGGGTTGGAGATTCATGATCCTTGAGCTCCCTTCCAACCCTGGCCATTCTGTGATTCTGTGATTCAGGTAATTTCTCCAAAGTGCCATGGTTTTTATGGTGGCCAATCACAAGACAACAGCACCACCTAGCGGCCCTTTCTGAAGTTCTTCAAATCTATAGTTTTGAAGAACTATAATTTACAAGTTTAGAGGATTTCTCAGGATTGAAAAGGCACTTGAATTCACTGTTTCAGCTGTGCAGGTAATTCCTTAGAGATCACATCCACTTCCTCTAAAGAGACTAGTCCCTACCAGGACAGACAGCCACGAATGATAGCCATTTTGAAATCTTAGGGGCCCCTCGTTTTCAGACAGCATCAAAATTCCTTGCTACAAATACGCCTTGCATATAATCCTATGGCTTACACGTTCAAACCATTACTTAATAGAGATCATTCTGGCAAGCAGCTGCTATAGCTAAGAGCAGGGACAGTTCCTCAGCAGTCTCTAGACAAGATTTTTGAAGAGAGAAGCACATACAAAACCGTCATGATGGTATTTCATGTTCAGTGTGAAAAATACCAGCAATAACGAGGCCATGTACTTGAATGTTCGTAAGTCACCTACAATCAGTAGTGGGGCTGCATATCAATACACGAGGTCATTAACAAACATGAAAGAAAGAAGTTTCAAGAAGGACAACCATCTTAGTGGAACTACACTTTTACAGACATTCAAGTTTAAAATAATCAGACATCTCATACTGTATGATTTCACAGCAGCCAATTTTTTTGCAGAATCCAGCTCAGACTAACAAAGAATCTAAGCCCACATTAAGAAGTACTTTCATAATGACCAGAAACTAAGTTAACAAAATAGAAGACCAAACAGCTCCAACAGCTCTGCTCCCTTCATCATTAAATGCTCCTGGTCTGTCACCCTATTGCTGACCAAGGGGATTTCCACACCAGTTCAAAGTCAGAAGAATTTTCAAGTTTGGAACTTCTATTGGTCCCAAAGGGCTTCAGAGCACATAATATTTTAACCATTCTCTCCCAAAGTCAGAAAAACATAATAGTTTTCAGATCAGAATACTAATGTCTGTGGCATAAACTTCTCTTTGAAAAGTGAAACTGTACTTGAAAAAAAAAAAAAAAATTAAAAAAATAAAGATAGTGGACCTATTCAGCTGTTTGACAGCTGGAACCAATGAAATTGGCTTAATCCAAGCTCTCGTCATTCTGCAGTTATAGTTAGAACACATCTAGTATTACACTGCATTTTAGCTGTTACCTGAAATCGTAGTCACACTGTAAATAGCAGCATGACTTTTGGAGCTATCACTGTTCTACCTCGCTATATGGTGTCAGGAGGTCACCTGCACTTAAGCATAAATTTTTTGGGACATTTCTACTCCAACATCTGGAGTTGATCAGTGGTCCATCTCCTTTTTCTAGGATTTAAGCTTCCTTTGTGGTCGTCTTTCCACACACTGTTTTTGCAAAATAGCTTAGCTTGCTTAGGCTGCTCTATCTTCAATTTATCTGGGGCAAAGGGTTATCTCTCTGATCTTTTCTTGGGTGATGTAACAACATGTTGAAGAAAAATCACTGTCAAACTAAAATTCCTACCAGGTGCCTTATAATTATAAGGCAACAGTCACAGTTCTGTAGCAATAAAACAAGACATTAGCTTTAGTTATCTGAGCCAAAGGACAATTTAAGAAAGGAAAAGAAAAATGTAAGTGGCAGTTCCAGGAAAAGCAGAAATAAACATTGTACACCCTTGTTATGAAAAGCACTGGCATGATCTCACCCCAAAAGAGATTTAGGTGCTTAATTGCTTTGCAACCAATTCAAACACTCAAAATTTCTGAGCTGTGAAGGTAAGTGAGTATTTCATAATAAAATGTTCTTTTACATACAGAAAGACTATTTTTAAAAGTCAACTGTAATTAAATGCTGACGGGTGTCTAAACCTTTTGTATCAAAAGTACAGGCACATCATCCCATTGTTAACACTATACTCTAAACTCTGCAGGGACAAGTTTTCCTTTTCTTCTGTGGCATTACACAGGCATGGCACAACCCAAAAGTCTAATCCTACTTTTCTTCAGGGTCTAAGGGCTTTAGAGGTACTTCCCACAAGGTATTTTCCTCAGAGAACACTTGCTCATCCCACATGCGCAGTCCCAGACACACTGGAGAACTGTTTAACCTAGCACTAGAGAACCAGTTTGTTTTTTTCCTCTCTTCCTGTCACATAACCACAAGCTGGAAATGCCCAACCAAAAATTAAGTCATGTACAGCTGAAGCATACACTGGTTATAGACTAGTCAGAAAGCAAGGACCACAAGCTGTGACTGTGCATTTCTTTTACCTTTGATGCATTTCTGCTTTCTTTGTACAACTGGAGTAAGTCACTTTTCAGCTTTACAGCAGCACACATTGGAGGACTGCAAGAGTCTTAGATATTGCCAGCCATACCAGGAGCTGTACGGGTGCCTAGGACAAATAAAAGAGATCATTTATCTTTTGCCTGGAGGCCTCTGAAAGGGCCTGGGGCCAGACAGCAAAACAGGATTGTCAGTTGCCAGGTGAAACAGTCAGCAGCCTGACTGATTCAGATTCCAGCTTAAAACTCTTCTCAATCAGCTGCTCAGGCACTGGGGCTCTACTGAATGTGGATTCCCATCAGGACATCAAACATGTTTAACAGAACAACAAGAAGCTTTTTCCCTCTCTGTGGCCAAGACAAGCAACTATGGGAGTTAACAAAGGCAGTCAGATTGCTACTATATCACTAGCCTTTGGCTTCGCCTACCTATCTATGCCTATGCGGAAAATGTTCCCTCTTTCTTTGGAAGGAAAAGGGCAAGGAACTTTCAGGGAGAGGGACGAAATCAGTTAGTCTGCACAGCTACAAGTTCAGGAGTGGCAGGGGATGTTAGGGCAGTCATTAACACATCAGTCTGTTCCTAAGTCATGCTCACTGGAGAAAGGGAGAAATAAAAATCAGCACCCGAGTCTCAAGGCCACAGTAGCCACTCAGTGGAGAGGGGGAGGGGAAAAGAAAAACAAACCGCAACACACTTCAGAACTGCAAATGTAACCTGCTGCCAGATCTGGAAAATCCAGGAGTTGAGCAGAGAATCTTCAGACAGATAGTACAGAAACTATTTCCAGGAATTAGTCTCCCTCCATGCAGAGCACATTATGACAGCCCTTCCACATATATTCCAGCTCTCCAAGACTGCAGAGAATATCCCAGCACCCACTTCTAGCACCCCCATCATAGAAACAGGATTTGTCTGTAGGGCTTATTTTGCTGAGTGTCACATTTATGTGCTTAAGGAGTGAACACCAGCCAAAATCACAATCAATCTTCTGGCTTGAATTTAGTGCTGGGCTTCCCATTCTAACTGTTTTAGTCAAATTCTCTCTTCTAAAGCTGAGCTTCTCTACATCTGCCTGCAATGCACAACACCTGGAGATGGCTACCTAGTAGGCTATGCCTACCTCACCTTCTCCCTTATTTCTTGTTCTATGCCTGAAGCCTTACAGCATATATAGGGGGGGTAAAAAAAAAAAAAAAAAAGGATATGATCTCTTTTTAAGCCAAAAAAAATAGCACTTGTCATTGTAGCTCACCAGAAACTAAAAATAGGAAGTTTAAGGTAGCACTGCCATAGAAACCAGCATCAAAAAAAATTGGCATTCAAATAACTACAAGATTTATATTTTAAATTAGGACTGACCAAATAGGAACATGAAGATCCTGAGCAGTTCAGCTCAGCTCCGAAGCTTGCCAGCGTATTCACGTAACAAGTGAAAGGAGAAGTCAGTATTCTGAACAGCAGGGCGAGGTAGATGCAAAAAGCCCAGGACACAACTATCACCCTTCACAGCACAATGAACAGTAATCTAATATGAACATTTTAGAGGCTTTTAGCTCAGGGGGCTTGGGATAAACAGCTTCACTTGCCTTCCATTTCTCCTTTTCACTTTTGAAAATCACTTCCTCAATCCCCAGAGCTCTGAAATGTCTTGGAACAAGTACGGTCATCTGCTGAGATGACCTGTAGGTCTGGGTACATAGCCATACTTTTGCTTGTGCTGAGGTACCTTAGTTACTTTAGTCCCAGCTCCACTGGACTAAAGTGTCTCCATAAAACAGCTTATTCCATCAGAATGCCAAGTAGGACTGAGGCGTATCGGCCTATGAGACTAAGTGTGCATGCGCAAAGTCAAGGCAGCTTGCTAGCTTGGCAGGAGAGGCACAATACAAAGAGCAGGCACTACAGTGATGCTCACTGATTTTCAGTGATCTGGAATAGACACAAATTAGCCAGACTTTTACAAAGTCAGAGATTCTTCCTACATCAAAAAACCAAAAACCAAAAACCAAACTCCACGTGCTGTCGTTACAGGAAAGGCGATCATGAGACAGGATAAACTGAAACTATAATTAACCATCATTCGAGTAGCAACTATGTTGTGTGGTTACAGAGCAATAATCTACGTATGGAGACTACAAACTCTGGCTAGAGGCTGCAGGCATGTTTCTCTAAAACAACACTTCAGTACCTCGCAGCTCCTTGTAAGGCCCCTGCAGAATTTGCAAGGGGCTTAACAAGCACTGCTGGGCAGAAAGCAGTTTCAAAAGCCCGGGGAATTTCACCTGATGTGCTCACGCAGAAACTATGCTCCTTTGATCTGAGCATCACTGAGAAAACAGACTGACAGCTTATGCAGAGGTGCCAAGTGAGTCAAGTGACATTCCCCGATGATGAAGTGACATAAGATTAAGCCCAATCATACATAGCCTTTGAGAGAAGAGTAAAGGAAGATCCTGGACTGTGCTAGGTTAAGGGGAGTCAGAGACAGAAATGAAATGAAACGTTAAGCTCATGTTGCATATTTCTGTTGAGACAGATAAGGACAGTTCCAGAGGGCTCTCAGCCAGGAAAAAATACCATTGGCATCTGAAAACTCTGAGATATTTGTCTCTTTCCAATCAGCTGCTGCACTGATGGGAAAAAATGAGCAATTTTTCCTGGACTGAGAGGACAAAATAATCAGCTTTCTCAAATCATTATGGAAAAAAATAAGAATAAGGAAAAAAAACTCACAACAGTAAGGCATATGAAAACATGAGCTTCCCAACAAACCTCAAATGACATAGAAAACTTGGTAAGAAGGAAGCTGTTTTCACTACACCCCTAACTGGTTCTGAGTCATCTTGTAGAGTTACTGGGGGGTTACCTGAGTCATCTGTGACAAATAAAAGAAAAAGCTCATCACAGGAATGGCTCTGTCAGCAAAATCTTCACTTGAGACCATCAAATATTTTGACGAAACCATTTTAATCCCAGAAGGCTAAATTCTAAAAGATGTTGAGCAAAGAAAAGTCAAGGAAAAACAAGAAAAAGTGAAAGGGGGTAGAAGGGGGAAGTTCCAGGAAGATTACAAAGGTTGCAGAATGCCTTCATAATGGAAAAGGCAGGGAAAATGTGAGCCTCTTAACAAATACAGTTCTGTGCAAATGGGAAAATCTTTGCTACAAGTGTATGAGAAACTAGTTCATCTAAGCCAATCTAAGGCCAAAATACTATTAATGACTGTCAGTGGAATCTCTTCCAATAAAAAGAACTTGAAAAAAAAAAAAAAATTGCACTTCAGCAGAGCTACTTCTAAGGTCTTAAACAAGCTTTTAGTGACTGTCTACTGCCTCTTTCATCCACTTGAAAGTCATTTATCTAACTTATACAGCACTCAGCTTAGAGCAAACAAATAGATGAGAACCCATAAACAATTTAATTAGAATATTTGCTGCAAATCACTGGAGATGGAGGTTGTGCAACGTTATGCTGGGGCAGTGAGCACACGAGTGGTAAGCAATTTGTAACACTAGCTAGAACAAAAGAAGAAATCCAAAATGGGGGCGGGGTGAGGGTGTAGATTTTCACTAATCTCTGAAAAGATTCACTGCTCTATGAAGATTAGATACAAATCCATTAATTACAGAGAAGTCATAATACCCTTCTCCTTTCTTAGTAATATTTAACTATGCTTAACCAATTGTTATGCACAGAATAAAAGCAAACTCAGCTCTAGTATGAGATAACTGAATACTACAGCAATGCATGTTTCAGAAACAAAGGTTGTCTTCACATTATTTATATTTATGGTATTTTTTCATTTCACTATCTTCAAAATACTGGTCTTGGATTTCTAAAAGAACATTTTTAAAAGCAGCAAGTCAGCACTGTTCTGTCCTTCATTACTCTTTTCTGATGGAAAAGAGGCCGCTTCGGACTAAAAAAAAAATAATAATCAACTTCCTCACAAAATGAAACCTTAAACATCTTTTGTTCCTCCATCTCACATTAGCGACTTTTAAAATTGAATTCTTATTCTCAAACTCGGCACAATGAAAATAGGAAGAAAAAAACAAGCTCACATGCACAGCACAAGTACGACAAATTCTACGAGTGTCAGAGAGAAACACCACTGTAACCACTTCAATTAAATATTTACAGAGAGCTTGTCTGCACAGCTGAACATCAAGCAAACAAACCCAAGTTTGGAATCAGGTGTGTTTAGCTGGATTGAAGATTGCTTTCTCCCTCACCCACCTAAAAAGCAAAACTTAGATAAGAATTTCAAAGTGAAGTTTGGAACTGAAAATGACCAAATCCCAGTTGAGATGCTATTTAAAAAAAAAAAAAACAACAAAAAAAACACTAATATGACAGGTTCTTCTTCAGCAATATGTTACATGCCAGGGCCGGGGGGGAGAAATCCTCATTCTCTTACAACATGTTCTTTAACTAAGTCCTAGTTCAAATAAAGAGCTTTGCCCAGACCTTTACACTGAGGCCAAATCTACGCTGTGAGCTAACTCAGGACAGCTACACCTCGCTTAATGCCAGCAAAGGGCTTAGAAGACAAGTATAGCCTTCTTTGAACAAAATATTTTTGCCAGAACTTACTCGAGCCTCCCCAGACTAAACGTGCACTGGCAGACATAACTTTTTTGACTTGAAGAATTATGCCAGCAGAAAATAAGACAAAAAGGCTTGGCAAAATTGGCAAAAGCCTCCTTCATGCTTTACCTATGTTTATTTGGTAAAACAAAAGTACAAGAGAACACCTTAAAAGCAGCTCTTAATCATTACTTATGTCAAGAGTATAGATGACCCTAATCCTGCCACTAGAGCATCTAACCCCTTTAAAAATGCTTCTTCCTACTATTGTGGTAGTACTGTCCTGTTAGCCATTCTCTGCTACATTAACTCTATACATAGACAGTGGAGATTCCTCGTCACAGTGAACTAGCTGCAAATCTCCTTAGCTCCACCAATTGCCACCTACAAGTCACAAAATACAGAACCATTGTAGGTAGCTCAGGTCATAACAAATTGCGTGCGTGTGTGTGTGAAAGAGAGAGAGAGAGAGAGAGAGAGAGAGAGAGAAGCCAAGGGTCTTGAAATTTCTTATGG